GCTCCAGTTGATCACCTTTGCTAAAGTCTTCAATTGTTTGGTCTTCAAGAAACACAACATCACGGCTTCGAATGATTTTCTTGTCGACCGGATCCCACAATCTATACCTGAATTCATCACGCCCATAGCCAAGAAAAAATACATTGTCTTGACTTGCTATCAAGCTTGGACCTCTCATCTTTTGGAATGTGAACAAAAACTCGGCAACCAAACCCTCTCAAGTGCTCATAAGATACATCTTTACCGGTCCAAACTCTTTCTAGAACATCACCATTCAAAGGATAGGAAGGAGACAAATTGATCACATCAACCGCTGTCTTCAATGCCTTACCCCAAAAGGATCTTGGCAATTTAGCTTGTGAAAGCAAACACCTTGTCCTTTCTACAATGGTGCAGTTCATCCTCTCGGCAACTCCATTTTGTTGAGGAGTCTTCTTAACTGTCTTTTGATGCCGAATACCTTGGCTGTGACAATACTCATCAAATGGCCCAATGTATTCACCACCATTGTCTGATCGGATGCACTTCAATTTCTGCCCTGTTTCTCTTTCAACCATGGCCTGAAAATGCTTAAATACTTCTAGAACTTGATCTTTAGTTTTTAGTAGAAAAGCCCAAACTTTCCTTGAATAATCATCAATGAAAGTAACAAAATAAAGTGCACCACCATGTGTTCTGACTTTTAAAGGACCACAAATATCCGAATGAATCAACTCCAAAATATTTTCTTTTCTAGAAGCAACATTTTTATGAAAAGAAACTCTATGTTGTTTACCCGCCAAACAATGAACACAAGTTTTAAGATGTGTACCTTTCAAACCGGGTAGAAGCTCTTTCTTGAACAAAACTTGCAGCCCCTTTTCACTCATGTGCCCAAGTCGCCTGTGCCACAATTCAGTAGAAGTATCATCTTCAAGTGCATTGACAACACCTTTACAAATTTTTCCTTGCATCGAATAAAGTGTATGAGTCTTCTTACACTTAGCCACCACCAAAGAACCCTTCGTGAGCTTCCATATTCTATTACCAAATTTGTTGTTGAAGCCTTCATCATCTAGCTTCCCAATAGAGATCAAATTGAGGCGAATGTCGGGAACATGCCTCACACCTTTAAGCAACAACTTGCAACCCAAATTTGTTTCCAAGCAAACAACACCCATGCCAATAATCTGGGACAAACCTTCATTACCCATTCAAACAAATATAAATTGAAAACTGAAAACGGAATGGTTACCAAACAGACCAATAATAAAAATGACTTTCATTACCCATTCGAACAGAACCATAATCTCCTTTGGTGTAGGTAGTGAAGAAATCAACTCGAGAAGTCACATGAAAAGAAGCACCGGAATCAATCACCCAATTGCTCTCTTGGCCCACAAAATTAATACAATCATCTTCACAAACAACCATGAGATCATCGGTAGTAACTGCCGTTGTGTCTTCTTGCTTCTTGTCCACACTTTTGTCACGCCTTTTCTCCTTATTCTTGAGCTTTCGGCATTCTCGCTTCATGTGCCCTTTCTCATGGCAATAATAGCACTCAATGTCTTTCTTTGAAAAAGAACCATCTTTTGATTTGTCACGGCTTTGATCACGACCATGAGGAGTCTTACTCCTCTCCCTTGTTTTGCTTCGGCCTCTCACAACGAATACTTCCGAATGAGAGGAACCGACTGATTTTCTTCTAGTTTCTTCATTCAACAGGCTACTAGTGACTTGGTCCATTGTAACAACTCCATCGGGCGCCGAATTACTAACGGTCACAACCAAAGTCTCCCAACTTTCGGGTAAGGAACTAAGTAGAATCAAAGCTTGTAACTCATCATCAAAAATAATTTTCATAGAAGCAAGTTGGTTAACAATACTTTTCATTTCATTTAAATGTTCTGGAATGGGGCTGCCATCTTTATATTTTAAATTAACCAACTTACGAAACAGAAATGCTTTATTTGAGGCTGATTTTCTATCATAAAGACTCTCTAGTTTTTTCTATAAATCATGTGCCGAAGTTTCAGTAGCAACATGATGAAATACACTGTCATCGATCCATTGACAGATAATACCAACGGCTTTTCGATTAAGCCTATTCCATTCATAATCTTTTATACCCTCGGGTTTGCCAGAATCACCCTCAATGGGTCCATATAAATCTTTACAAAATAATATGTCCTCCATTTTAGTTTTTCAAGTTACCTAATTGCTTCTATTGACGCTAGACATACGACCCACATTCCTCTCCATTGATTTACACAAATAAATAAATCCAAATAAACCGTAAGCTTTGATACCAGTTGTTAGGGAAAATATGTGATTTTTCACAAGTAAATCAATCAATGAAAATAAAAACTAATGCGGAAAAATTAAATCAAAAGGCAACACAAGAATTTTACGTTGTTCCCTCAATGTAAGGTACGTCCACGGGATCGAAATCCGATTCCACTATCAACCAAATAAGTTTCCAAACGATTACAAACGAGACACGAATGGTCTCACAAAACCACCCTTAGGTGAATTCTAAATAATCACAAATAAATAAGAGGAAAGACCTCACCAAATAGATGAATCAAAATCTTCAGAACCAGAGTTGAAGAAGATCTAAAATAATGACCCAAAATAGAACCGAAAGCCGAACCAAACGAAACAGAACTGACCCAAACGTTTGATCCCACCGAATTGCTTTTTAATCTCAATCAGCCACAGCACATTATCTCACCAAGAAGAATTAATTAGCAGCCACTTCCATGCCTCGAATGGACATAACAATATATATATATATATATATATTGTTGATTTTTGGACTATTAATCAAAACCCTAATTGTATCCAAATTAAATTGGGTCTCTGAAAATTAGATATAATATATTAAAATATATTATACCTAAACCAAACTAAAATTCTTTTTCAAAAACTAAATGGGTCTCACACTCCAATAAGGAGGTATACCCAACAAGCCGATGGGTTGTAGGGATGGCCAACAAGCCACCCTCTTCCCTCATAAGCAAAAACACAAGTCTTTGATCCGCAACCAAGCACAAAACAAACAAGTTGAGAGATCCTAAGGTAAGGCGCGTAGCCGAGACCTTCGGGAACTCAAAATGAATACGAACATGGATGATCATCGAGTGTTCAAACGATGACGTCCAAGTCTTGAGGACGGTCAAAAATGGAGTATCTACACCCACTATCTGAGAGTAACTTGAATGGTGAATGCCATATGCCTAAAATATTATAACATGTCAATAAAATTTTAATTGTGCATATGCCATCTCTTCTATATGGGTGGCTCGTCTCTAGTCTTAAAATTTTCCTTTATTTTTTGGAGTAAAGAAAATTTTATATAATTCTTGGGTTTTGGATCAAATTGGATGCCAAGTGTTGTCATTGTGGCATTTTTTTTTTTTTTTTTTGTGGAAATACCGGAAGTTGGGTATTGATCCAAAGTTGGAGGTATTAGATAATTTGATACATAAAGTATGAAAAAATAAACTTAAGAAAAACAAAATTTAAAGCTTAAAATGAAAGAATACTATTACTTTAATTTAATCTTATTTAAAGGTATACAGTTACATACATGCAATTTTTTAATATTTCGTTTGTTTCGGTAGAAAATAAATTTTCAAAAATGCTTTTTTCACAATAAAAACATTTATTTTTTGTGATATTTGATTGTCACTTTTGAAATGAATGTGCAACTTTTAAACTCTAGAATGAATGTTCTGAATTTAAAAATGAAGCTCCACAATGTCAAAGACAATGATTTAAAAGATATATCTTCAATGTGTGAAGGATATTGGCCACAAGTTAACCATCTCAGTTCTGATTAACGATGAAGAGACCTTACATATTATCTTAAAGGCTTATTAAATGAGTATTATTTTGTGTTATTTTTTTGGTATGCCACCTGATGACCAAGAATGAACCTGCATGTTATTCTATTTTATTTAGAAATGTCTCTGAGATCTGAGTGATAAAAACTGACCCATACGAAGTAATTTCTACATGCATACAAATGGCTACGGTTCTTTTAGTCACCTTTTAGCTGGGGTAAATTGCATTGACATTTCTTGTGGTTTAGAAAATATAACAAGTTTTATACGTTTAGTATAATTATAATTGCATTAGGTTCTCTTAAGGTTTTAATTTACGTATCAGAATTTTGTTAGTCGAATATGAAAAAATTATATTGTCATCTCTATTTATATTGAAATGTAGAATTTAATTTATCTTTATATTTTCATACTATCTACATTAGTTTTACTTTTTTTAATTTTACTAAAAAGGAGGTCGATGTAATTATGTTAAAACTATAAAACTTATTGTATTTTCACCCAAACTCAAGGGAGAGTGTAATTTACCCTTTAGTTATATTTCCAAAGAAAGCTGATAATTGTGAAACAAACAATTGTTTTAACATTATTCATTTTTGGTTGGCAACTGCTAAAAAAAACACATTTTTCTTATATTTTTATTTTTAGTAATTTTTTTAATTTGCATTCAAAATTTTACTTTTCAAATTCTTCTAGTCTAAAAGGAATTTTAAAAAAATAATAAATATTTTACAAATATTTGTTTAGAAAATACTATAGACAAAAATCTTTTTTAGCATTTATTAGATGCATCAGCTATTTTAACAACTATATGCTAAAAAAATATTAATAAGGTAATGCTTGGCATAAACTTTTTGGACTAAAATAATCACAAAAAGACAAAATAAGTTAAAAAGTTAATAAGACAAAATGTCATATCTAAATCATAATCATTTTATTTTTTTTCTCATAAAAATCAAAAAAGTCAAAAAGTCCATTCCAAACGAAACTTTTTAGTTTCAGCCTAAAATAATCAAAAAATCAAAAATCAACCTACTTCCCAAACCAACGCTAAAGTGATTGCTAAATCCAACTCATGCAATGCTTGGGTCCGCAGTGATAAAAACCAACAAAATAAAATATTGATAAGACAGCTTGGGATCATTTGGCATTTTGATTTGTTCCCTACTCTCAGATATATAAAAGCAATAAATTGGGAATACATATGCCTCCTTCAAATTTGAAAATTAGCATATTTAATTATGTTGTTATGTAGTGTCATTCTCTTCATATATGATATAATCATGATGCCATCATCATCCTCACAAATTCCTCATAGCTAACTACACCATCTCCATCCAAATCAGCTTCCATAATCATCTGTTCAGCTTCTTCATCTGTCAATTTTTCTCCCAAATTTATCATTACATGTCTCACCTGTGTACACACAAACCCAAAAAAATGTCAATCATAAAATAATTTTACATCATCACATTGTGTATGAATACAATCTATAAACGCAATCACATTCAACTAATATCAAACTTGTCGAGGATTCTCTCTCAAAATCACTGTTTATTTGTTCCAAATACACTGTCATATAATATGGCTAACAGTGAGAGAAATTTTAAATTTTCTATTAAGAGAAATTGAGGTTCAAAAGTCCTCAAAGCTATATGGACATTAGTCAGGACGGCTTCTAGATAACAAAATAAAATAAAAATGAAACTTAAGGTTTCTTGGAGAGTAGAGACACAATTTTAGACCTTCATATATAGAGGGACTCTTGACTTCTTTTGGGTTTTGATCAACTAGCCAAATTGATTTAGCCTAACGGTTAAGCACTTGTTTGGCATGACAGATTTTGAGGCTTAAAAGTCTTGTTTGGGAAGTAGTTTTACCTTAAAAGTCAAAAACTTATTAAAAAAACAAAAAGACCTATAATTTATATCAAAAAGTTAAAGATTTCCCCTCTCTCTACTTTTTGCACATTTTTTCATAAAAAACCAAAAAGTCATTTCGAACATACAAATTTTTTTTTACCTCATATTTTAGTCAAAAAAATTACTAAAATAACATGTTCCCAAACGAGATCTAAATGTTATTTTAGTCACAAAATAATAAAATAAGTTAAAAAGTCAATAAGACAAAATGTCACATTCAAATTATAATCATTTCATTTTTTCTTTTACAAAAGTCAAAAAATCTATCTTAAATGAAGTTTTTTAGCACAAGGCTAAAAAATTCAAAAAGACAAAAAGTCAACTCACATTCCAAACGAACTCTTGAAATTAGAAAAAAATAATAAACTGCTTTAAAAATTATTTTCAACCACTTTACTCACTTTAGTAATCATACAACTAATTGAAAAATTATTTATGTAAAAAATCAAGTTAATCCAATATCGATTATCATACTATCAAATTATAATTTTTGTTTATACGACCTACATATTTTTTTTAAAAAAAATTATCTATTTGTTGTAATCAATATGTGATCATATCTAATCAATTTAATTTTTTATATATAAATTCTAACCAGCTTATTTTAGCTAAAAAGCCAAAAAGCCAACTAAAACTAATCACATCATCTCTCTACTTTTCTGCACATCTTTTCGTAAAAAGTCAAAAAATTACTAAAATAGCCTGTTCCCAAACAAGGCCTGATTGATTCTACAATACGCCAATTTCACCTATAAAGTAGATATCTTTTAAGGTTTTACCTCAATGGCTGATATATATCCGTCTTGGTCCTGATCAAATACTTTGAAAACTTCTTTTAGTTCCTCTGCTACATTGTCCTGCAAAAATTTCTAACACATTAATTTTGTCAATAAAAAAAGCAAAAACCAAATGATCCATCAAGCCTGTTCCCCTATGCTATGTTTGGACCTTTGATTTATTAAGAAAAATAAATTTAATTTCTTACTTTAGTTTTCTCAATTTTTTTTTGGGTACATTATATTGAACCCCAAAATTTATAGAAATACAATAAGCATATAATTGTAGCATAATTACTTCCGACCTCCCTTTTAGTAATGTTAAAAAGAGTGGTGTGAAAATACAAAAATAAATAAGATTAAATATACAATTTTCAATAGAAAAAGATGAAGACGTTATTTTTCATATGAGTGGTGATTAAGACCTCTAATAATAGAGCTCTAATAAGAGCACTAGTGACGTGGCAACCTGAAAAAAAAAAAGAAAAAAAAAAAACAAAGGCCAAAACATCAAATCACACACTGGGACCCACAGATTAGAGCTCTTCTAGAGCTCACAATTTAGAGGTCTAAAGCATTTTTCTTTTCATATATATAACTAATGAATTATTGATGACAAATAAACTAGGAGTTATGTAAATTAAAATTTGAAAGAAGTTTAATGTAATTATATGAAACTTGTGAGATTTAATGTATTTTTATCAAACTTCAAAAGAGTTAATTTACCCTTTTTTATATTTTTCTTTTATTTAAAAAAAGAAAAAGAAAAAAAAAAAAGTTTTTAAACACAATCTTAATGTACAAATTGAACATTCCTTTGTGTACACTATATACCTTCATTTTTCTTGCCATGATATTCAAGTAGTGCTCAAAATCAATGGTCCCATTTCCAGCAATATCAACTTCGCTTATCGTGTCTTCAACCTCTTCCTTTGTTGGATGTTCATTCAAAGATTGAATCACCCTTGCCACTTCGAGTGAGGATCCTCTCCTTGCAGCTCCCGTCCTTGCGCCCGTCCTTGCAAGCCTTCGGGTCTACTTTTAGGCCCAATTTTGATAATCCGAACCGTTCATATTTTATGATTTATTCAGTATATCATACCTGTAAAAAATCAAGTTGATCGGATATCAGAAAGCATGTGTTCGGAAAACTGTTTATTAAATTCTTTAAAAAATAATGTTTAGTTCAATTTTTCAAACACATACTTTCTGATATCCGATCAACTTGATTTTTTACAGGTATAATATACTTAATAAATCATAAAATATAAACGGTTCGGATTATCAAAATTGGGCCTAAAAGTAGACCCGAAGGCCTGCAAGGACGGACGCAAGCACAGGCTTGCAAGGAGAGGCTCTTGACTCTGCCACTTCTTCCATGGTAATGAAGCCTGTGCACCATCCCATTTGTCAATTATTTATTTAACGTTTAAATTGGTTCGTAGAAACTACACTAAACAATTCAATTTAAACACCTGAAATTAATAAACAAGTTTAAATAAATTAGATTGAGATGATATGGATTGGACAAATCAATCTATCGAACTCATTTATTTTATTTTAAACAAAAATCATTTTAATAGACGGTGGTGATGATGATGGTATAATGTGGTGGAAGTGGTAATGAACTGGTGGTGATTGTGGTGGAAGTGAGGATGGAACAAGTGGTACTCGTTTTAAATGGGCACATATATTTAAGTCATTTAAACTTAATTTTAATTTGATTTGTGAGATGCAACCAATTTGAGCTCATTTAGAAATGGAGTTGGAATGGATATTGTGCAGCTCATAACAACTATTGTTGTTGTGCAGTCCATAAAAATCATTTTGAAGTTTATTTTGACAGTTAATTTTTTAAGATATATTGATTAAAATATAATTGTAAAAATTAAATTGATTCGATATTGATAGTATTTTTATCGAATTATATTTGTATTCAATTTATATTTCAAATTACATTTACCGTTATTTTTTGGGTAAATTATACTTTGCCCCATTTATGTTTGATCACTTTTTCACTTTGGCCTTTAAAGTTTTTTTTTTTCTCACTTTGGCCCTTATGTTTCAAGTTTTTCTCAATTTACTCTAAAATTTAATTTATGTTAAAATTAGACAGAAAATGACACATTGACAATCACGTAACATGAAATTTTTTTGTTATATATGACTCACACCTTTGACACAAACTCAAATCTCGATACAATAATTTATTTTTTATGTTATGTGACCATTATCGGGGTATTTTCTATCTAATTTTGAATAGAAATTAGATTTAGGAGTAAATTGGAAAAATTTTAAAACATAAAGGGCCAAAGTATGAAAGTAGGGGCAAAGTGTAATTTATCAATTTTTTTTTTTTTGAGATACAAAGCTATTTGATATCCAATCAATTTAATTTATTTTTTTTTTTTTTGTAGGTATACTAACCTCGATGTACCTTATAAAGTGAATATTTAGATTACTAAATTGGGGCTCAGAAATGAGCACCTTGGGCTGTACAACAGCTATCCCAATTCCTTTATAATTGTGAAAAAAATTGAATTTTTGCATAACTCATCTTCAATTTATAAATTGAATGAGTTGAATCATCATTATAAGCTCAGCATGAGAGTTATAAGATAAAATATGGAGAGGTGTAGAGAATAAGGGTATAGAGGAAAGTAGAGCTCGACTTGTTTCTTTATCGAGCTGGTTTATTGAGTTTGAACTTAGTTCGATAATTAATTGGGTTTGAACTCGGTTCGATAACTAACTGGACTCAAACTTGACTTGACTTGTTAATATTAATAAAATACAATCTTGGCTCGACTCAATAAGATTTTTTTAATATTATTTAATACATAAATAATGTATTTATCCTATTATTTATATATTATTTAATGCATAATAGTATATTTATATAATTTAAATAAAAATAAACAAATCAAACTTATGGGAGTTCGAGTTTGGTTCGTTTACTAAACGAGCCGAGCCCGAGCCCGAACCCGAACCCAATCCAAAATGCGAACAATTCAATTCATTTACAACCTTATATAGAGTCATTCCCATTATGATAATAAAAAATGTGAGTAAAATTTAGTTTAAATAAAGAAGTGTGGAAGAACAAACCATCAGAGTCCTCATCAATCAAAGAGAAGGCTTCTCTGAACTCTGCAATCTGTTCTTGTGCCAATGCGTCTGCCATTTTTAGGTTTGTTTGGTGAAAGATAAAGCAAATGCAGAGAGAAATTCACATAAAACTGGGTTCTAAGTAGGCTTTATAAATATATATTTTATTACTATTAGGAAAAATTCAACTGATGAGTAATTGGAAAAAAAAGTCAAGCACACACGCCTCTGAGAAAATTTGGGAAAACACCATTCACCAGTCAAATAATAGAAAACTTCTCTCGGGGGACTACGCGGAAAACCAAATTTATGAATTTTTATGTTTTTTTATTTATTATTTATTTTTTGTTTTTTTTTAAGATATTCTTGTCACAATTTTTGGCCTTTTCTTTCTTTTTAATAGGATAATATAATCGAGCCGAGTACTAGGTAAAAACAATTTTATTCATATTTTTGGAGTGTGAAAAATATACAAATTATGATTAGTCTAAAACAGTGAACTTGATAGTGTGAATTCTACTATATTTTACTAGTCATGCTTTTTTTAGTATGTGAATAAAATCAAACTCAGTATTAGATTGTTTAAATTTGAGTTTAAAATTTAACTCCTTTTCTTTCTTTTTAATAGGATAATATAATCGAGCCGAGTACTAGGTAAAAACGATTTTATTCATATTTTTGGAGTGTGAAAAATATACAAATTATGATTAGTCTAAAACAGTGAACTCCATATCAAAAAAGTGTATTGATGGTGTGAATTCTACTATATTTTACTAGTCATGCTTTTTTTAGTATGTGAATAAAATCAAACTCAGTATTAGATTGTTTAAATTTGAGTTTAAAATTTAACAAGTGTCAAAATGTGTTTAAGTTTGACTTGTTTATATTATGAGTCAATCTTGAATAAATTTTAACGAATCGAACCTGAGTTTAACTTGAATATCTTAATTTTTTATAGTGTATATATGTAATTTTTTAAATTTAAAAATATAAGAATATATATTTTAAAAAAATAAAAAACAAAAAATTTACCAAACCCCACGATTGAGCTTTGCTTGTTGTTTGGGTTTAGACGCCTAGAGGTCAAGCCATGAGGGGATGGAAATGGCTGCATCTTTGGGCTTACAGCTAGAAGTCAAACCATGAGGATCGATATATTTTGAACCTAGAAAAGGTATTTTGAAAAATACGTTGAAGTTAAAATATGTGGATCAAAAAATAATTTTTCAAAATACGTAATTGCCGTGAATAATATAGCAATCTAACGATACATGTCTATATTAAAATTTTCAAAACATTATTTATAATTTAAATTGTGCAGTCTAGTGGTCCATAACACATCAAGTTTGAATTTAAATAAATTTTGAAGTAAAATTAATGTATTCTTATTTTTTTGTTAGTCGAGAGAGTGCAGAGGAAGTCGAGCCTATCTAATGATTCAAACGTATAATAATCAACTAATGCTGTATTTGGTTGGGGAATTTGGGGAGGGATTTGGAAAGGGAAAGGAAAAAGGTGTGTAAAACTATGTGAAATGTAGGCATATTTTTTTTCACATTTCACCTACCTTTTTCATTTCCCTTTCCAAATCCCTCATCAAATCCCTCAACCAAACACATCATAAAAGTCCAAAACTTGTCTTTAGGAAAACTGACAAGACCATATTCAATTCATGGGAGCATGAAAGCTAATTGTGTGGTGACCATTTCAATTCGGTGAATATAGTTATGCTATACATTTCATGTATCAAAAGTAATTTATCTTTGTTGGGGATTTGGAGAAATATTTTTAGAGAGTGAGGCAAAAATCTTAGATATAGAAGAACTGTTAGTAGGGGTGGGTGCGGGTCAATTGCGATCATGAAACCTCCAACTCGCCATTCGTCTACCAGATTGGCAGATTGAAAAAAATCAATCCATATTCATTTGTCAATCCGGCGAATGTGGATTGAGCGGATTGACGGATGGATGCGAATCGGTTTGACAGTTTAAAAATTTATAAATTTTCAACATAATTCAACCTGTGCACTTCCTCAAAAAAAAAAAAAAGTATTACAGTCAATGATTTAAAAAAGTATTACAATCAGTGTATGCCTCATCCAAAGAAAGTAAGTTTGAAACTTTAGAATATTACAATCACTACATGCCTTATCCACATATTACAATCGTTGCATGCCTCATCCATATAAAATATTACAATATGTGGTTTTTAAAATATAAAAACAATTCAAACCACCAAAATCATGAACAGAGCAATAGTAGAGATTGTATGCCTCTGTATTGCTACATTTATATCTGTTTTTGAAAATAAAAACCAACCAGTATATATCATCTTTTCTATTTATTACTTTTAAAGTTAGATTTAAAAATCAAAAAATATAGATAAATAATACATTTTTTTTTTCAATTCAAAAAAATGTATTCAAGTTGAAAGCTCTTTTTCAACATAATATATTTAACAGAATATTTAAACTCTTTTTTAATTGAAAACAAAAACAGAATATCTAAACAAATTGAAAATACAAAATCTTATAAATTACTAGGAGTGCTCGCAGTTTGGCATTTCAGTTGCGGCCAAATGAATTTCAAATCCGCCATACTTCCAAAACTAGGCGGATTGAAAAAAATCAATCAGTAACCGTCTACTCGTCATTATGTATCCGTCCAAAATGAGACGAATCAGTTCGTTTCAATCAATTTGGACAAATTGATATATCCACTGTTCACCTCTAATCGCTAGTGTTGAATGGAGGTGGCCAAGAACAATTAACAGCCATAACAAGAGTTCTGATAATATATGTTATCAACTTGAGATTTGGTTTAGTTGTAATAGAGAGACTGATAGTAGCGGAATTCAGGTAATAAATGTTATCACTCTCCTTTCTATATGTGCGACATATCCACTTTCTTCCAATTGCTACTATCAAAGAGAAAGAGATGGGACCGTGAAAGAAATAAGTGAATGCAAAAAGAGAAATTTAAACTTATGAATAATGAAAGGGTTGGAATATTTATTTAGTTTTTGATCAGGAAAACAAAAATTTCGTGAAAAACATAAAATTAAAGGTACAAGAAAATGAAATGCATAGAGAGATTCAAATAGTGCAAAGTCCCCTACTACTGCAACTAGTATCTTCACAACCAATCCATCAGCTTCACAAGTTTTTTAATTTAAAATAACAAAAAAAAAAACAAAGCAAAATACAATAAATAAATAAAAAAGAACAGCTAAGGAAATTTTAATTACACAAACCCAAAATGCTTGAATCCCCCAAAACGTTCTGTCTAATCGCAACATTGAAGGATTGGATGCCATGCCACGGCTTTATCATGCCACGCCATCGCCTTGGCCCGCATGCCATGACATGCCACGACCTTTGCCTGACATGCGCACGGCATGGGCAGCCTGGCATGCGCACGGTCGCGAAAGGTGTAGAAAGATAAAATGTTTTATGTGTTCAAAAACAAAATGATAAAACATTTGTAATTATTTTTTTAGATGACTGTAATGAGAAAAAGGGTGTAATGAGACTAATTTGAGGTGTAAATAGAAGCATCCGATGTATAGGAGACGGAAAAAGAAGATGTGCATGGGAAATTCTATTTCCAATCTCCAATTCCTTTCACTCCACACACTTTCGAAAAATGTTGTCATGAAATTCCTTCTCTCTGCATTATATATATATATATATATATATAAGTAGTGTTTTTTTTTTCTTTTTTATGTGGTACATTCTAAATACTTACTTTTTTCTAAAAAAGTCACATTAACATACTTTTTCTATTTATATATAAAGTTCTACAAAAATTTAATTTCAATTATTACAAAATGTGCTTAATTATATGTATCACAATCAAATTAATTTTCTTTCATATTTTTTATTTTTTGTCTATCTTATTAATATCTTAATATTAATTTATATTTAATTTTTTATTTAACATGAAATTATTTATTACAAAATATTTATATTTAATTTAAATTTTATATACATATATACAATATGTATGAATAATTCAAAAAGAATATTAAAAAAAAAATCAATTTATGTATTTTCTTCTTAATCCAATCACAATATATTTATATTTAATCTTTTAAATAAATTTTGTGTTTCTACATATTTTTATTATCCAAATAAATATAAAAATTAAATTAAATAATTAGAATCACTTTTAGTTTTATATTACTAATTCTCTTTCTAATTTAACTATTATTTTTGATATCAAAATAGTGTTTATTTTACTATCTTATAATTTAATATATATTATATAAAATTATTATATTATAATTACATTTTTATAGCATAATAGAATTAAAATTATCAAAATTAATAAATAATTTAACTAAATTTATTATATATAGGTATTCAAGTATTGGTTGGCGTCCAACAATCTCAACTCCTACAGATGCACCTTGATTCTCCTCCCTCTTTTTAAGAAAATCTAGAAAATGCTCTATATTAATGTCATCATTTTCATTATCATTATCATTATCATATTAAACTGAAGCAGAAACTTCGATCCAATAATAAAATAAGCAGAAACTTGGGTGAAAAAATGCTGTTATTTCTTACACTGAAATATATATATTATTCCTGATATATCCTAGTCTTTTCATACCATTAGTTTTGGTCCATTCTGTTGAGTTGTTTGTATTTTCTTCAAATTTCAACAGAGGTCATTGTAATTTATCCTATTTTAGAAAAAGCCTCAATAAAATTAAAATAATTGAGTACATACATGGTTTAACAGTAAGCATTTTGATTCTTAACATATGCAATAAGTTTCATTTTAGTTATGCACTGAATAAATATGTGCATATTCCCCATTGCACCCCAAAACATACACAAATTAAGCCTAATAAATTGATCTTAAGAACGAGATTGTGAAGACGTATCTTACAAAATTGACACAACACCATGGTGGGCAATTGTCTGGTGTACAAAGTAGCAAAGTTTTATGGAAATTACAGCTGAGCATCATAAGCAGCCCCCAACAGCCAACTGGAAAATCTCTCTCTACCTGTCTCTCTCTCTCTCTCAGATTGGTCTACCTTTGGGAACAATTTGATCTTTGAGCCACATGTAAATAGGAACCAGTACAAAATATGTTGCTGCCATGACACCCAGAATGAAGCGCATGAAGAACACAAGTGGATTCACGGGCTCTGCCACATCCTCTGCCTTTGGACCAAGCTGTGATGGAAAACAAATTTCGTGAATACAAAGTGATGACAAAGAAAACTTAGACGGGCTTCAACGGTTCAAGAAATCACATATTTTGTTGATTAAGAAAGAATTACGTTAGCATTGCATGTTCAAAAAGGAGGGAAATAGCCGTGTCAACTTATTCCCTTAACCATACAACCCTCATTTCCCCCTTTCCTCTCTTAAAAACATATAAATAAATACATAACAAACAGTAATTTAATCAATCCAATAACATTCTTTAGTGATTGAATTGCTCAGGGTTTCCCTGTACAGGTTGCAAATCAAAGCGAACAAAACTCAAAAAACACAAATGTTAACTTTTTGTTTTCCTTGGCAGCATGTGGTGTTCAACTAAAAAATACAGACACCCCAAGATGGGTCCTGTGTCTTGTTGACACGTGCCCAACACCGATGTGGCAAGGACATGCGTGTCCACGTGTCCTACACACTACATGCATTTTTTTTTTTTTAAATTATTTTTTAGTAGGACACATCAACGACACTACATGGACATGCCTTATTATGACACATTTGAAGGTTTTATTTTTTTATTTATAATTTTTGAAAGATGATTTGGGATCAAAGTAAAATATATGAAAATCAAGAGGAAAAAAGTAAAAAAAATAAAAATAAAAACACAACCATATATAAATTGACACCTCTCATATCTTTATATTCTAAATTTACATTCATAGACACAGTAAATAAACATTTTTTTTTTTGCCGTATTTTTAAAATTGTGGCGTCCTATGTCCGTACTTAGGGATGGCAATTTGAACCCGGCCCGACGGGGACCCGATCCCCCGACCCCGATGAGAATGGTTTTTCCCCGAAAAATACCCCGTGGGGACGGGGATGGTATTCAAAATTAAAACCCCGATCAGTTTCGGGCCGGGGACGGTGATCAGTGTTCAAGCCCCGGCCCGGCCCCGTCCCCGGCCCCGGCCCCGAATTTTCCCCGAAGCAAAATTACCATTTTACCCTATATATATATATAAATCAACTTCTTCACACACACAGAAGCCTCACACTCACTCATACTCATCTGTCTGCCTCTCATCTGTCTCTCTCTCTCCCTCTCTTTAAAACCGTCGGCCGATCTTGTTGTTGTTAAAGAGATCTGTGTAGTTGATTTGTTGATGGTTTTGTTCTTGTCTCAATAGGGATGATCTATGTGGTTTATACAATAGATTGAAAATGATCTGTTTTGAAGAGATCTGTTTTGATCTATTTGATGATCTATGGTTTTGATCTATTTGATGATAGATCAATATCAGTTGATCTATACAATAGTTTGAAATTTTTAATGATGATGATGATGATAGATTACTGAATACAACAGATTGAAATTATTTTTGTTGTTTTTGTGTTAAAAAAAAAATAAAAAATGAACAGGTCGGGGATTTTCGGGGTCGGGGAAACCCGATCCCCGAACGGGGGCTGGGACGGGGGGGCTGATGGGGTCCCCGTCGGGGATCGGGACCGGGGACGGGGAATTTCTCACTATCGGGGATCGGGGATGGGGAGTGTGGTCCCCGGCCCCGCCCCGCCCCGTTGCCATTCCTATCCGTACTTGTGCCTATGTCCTTGTTTCTCAGTTGTTCATCTAAGAAAACACAGATGCAAATTTCCAATTGAGGTAAAGTACTTCCTTCAATTGCATGCCACTTCGACTAAACTACTCTAGTTATATAGGAAGACTGGCCCCAAATACAAGTGATGCTAGCATTATACTAATGGTGATGGTGGCAATGCTAAAGCAGAGCAGTGGTGCTCAAACTCTACTGAGACATAATAAAACTGTCCATTGCCAACTAAATTCTTCACTATGGTAAACTCATTTTGTTTGGATATTGTTGGATTCCAAGGTCCAATTTCATAAATTTCCTTAAACTGGATTAATTCTACAATGTCAATATTCTTTAGCATGGGAATCATGATGTAACCTTATATTCAAGCTTGAAACAGGTTAGAAGTTTTCAAACTAATAGCATGACATCAGAATCACCCTTGAAAACATATGAACTCCTCAAAACCAAAAACATATCAACATAGATAAGCAGAAAAATCATAACACTAAAAGGAATTTCAATCAAATGAATTTTAGAGATGGTGTAAATAGAATAATGAATAAGAGATGTTAAAGCAATTTATAACTTCTTTGGGATATTTATATAGTTTTAACCAAGAATTTCTTAATTAAAGTTGGTGCAGCTAGTAAATTTAGTTTCTGAGAAGCACATCCAGTTGAAACAATCCTATTTTGTTGGCCAAGACACCGTAAAATGTACTCACCACAATTATATCTTAGAGAAAGAAATGGACCCATTTCTGTAAAGATTGATATAAAGTCCTAAGCACATGATGTAACAGCGTCATGTCAGATTAATGGAATGACGGAATACAAGACACCTTTTTCCTGATGTTTCTATATTTACATGTTTTAAATAAATACACATGCTCATTTCAAATGCCCCATAAAGTCAAATGAAATGTTCTGATACAGTGACGGAGAAAAGTAACCTCAACTGAGAAGACATAGTCTTCTATATGGCATTAAAACGTAGCACACTCCATACATGCATGTAAGTTACAGATGAAGTGCTGATTTACCTGCAAAGGTGAATCCCCAGAGGCAGGTTTTACACCTGTGACAGAACATCCCATGATCAGCCCATGGCGACGAACCCCACGGTACCATTTTGGGCCAATTCTCTTCAGTTGAACATCCTTAAATCCAGCTTTCTCAAACCACTCAATGTACTCTTCTTCCTTTGGGAATAGCATCCACACATCTGCGAAAAACCGAGACAGCCAAAATGTTGGATACACAGGACCAATTATGCATGCCTTCCCTCCGAGTTTCAAAACCCTGTATGCTTCCTTGATGCCACGTTGTGGGTCTGGCCAGTACTCTATACTGAGAAAATGCAACCATGAAATCCTCATAAGAGATACTATTAAGGAATTTAATCTCTCTCTCTCTCTCTCATATTCTTGAAATTGGAAATTGAGGACACCTACCTTGCTACTTAGCATGTCTTTCCTCCAACCATATCAATTTGCACATCTACCTTGCTAGTTATGTTTGTCCTTCTAAGTTCATTCAATCATACATCGAAACACCAAATGCTCACACATAGACTTTTGGTTTGAGAAAAGTACACTCAATTTAGTCCCCAATTCCCATTAATGCGGGCCTGGGAGGAGTAGACTAGGTTCATACCTAACCTTTGACCATTATATACAAAGTGGCTGCCCTCATACCATTAGGACCATCATGTACATACCTAAAATTTAACCATTATGTATTTAAAAAAAACAATATTTGCCACATTACATGACATCTAAATATCCAACATTTTTTCTAATTGATTTCACATAGTTTCTTCTGCTTCTATGTTGTTTATTTATCTACTTTTCTACATGCACAAAATGTGCCATGCAAAACTAGAACATGTGTGTAATTTACAACTAGTTCAGATATAATTCCAAACAGATTCAATGAAATCTCCCACAAACTACACATTACAATATTTCTCAAACAAATCAATATAATTTAAATCTAGCTCAAGAATGGCAATAGATTCACATTCAAATGCCAAAAAAGTCCTGCATAACCAGAATCAAGATGCCAACTCAACACTGTATGCGATGTGATCGAAATAAAGGGCAGCAAAAAAATCAAATGAAGATTAAGCACAGCAATATATACCTCCCAGCAGATACATATCTATCCGCATAATCAGTACGGAATGGGAGATCCTCTGCATCACCCTCAATAATCTTGCATTCCTTCAAGGGCTCCTTCTGCTTTGCCTTGGCAAGCTGGTGAGGCGATTGATCCAAAATGGTTACATTTTTGGCATCCACATGTTTAACAATACCCAATGTAGTGAACCCTGTTCCTCCGCCGACATCCACCACAATCATGTTCCGATCGCTTAGGTCCGCGGGCTCGAGTGCCTCATCTCTCATATCCTCAGTCCAATGCCCAGGGTTTATGACATGGTCATACACAATTGATAAAAACCTATAGAACCAAAATGCCTCTTTCTTGTGCTGTATAAACCTAGGCTGTGAAGCCGGCCTAGATCCCGAAAGACTGCACTTGAGTGGTGCTAGGGTTTTAGTTCTAGCCCAAAAATTTGTACCAAAGTTTACCACACCAATCTTGGGAAAATGCTTCCCGTGCAAATCTGACCCAACAAAGCCTAACCCATTTGGGGGTATTCTTCTAGTGAGTGTGAGATTTTCAGCTCCGTTAAGCATTGAAGAAGCCATGAAAATGATCAGATAACAAAAACCCACAAACAGAAAACCAGCAATTCAGTGTTTAAATCAACAAATTGAAGTTCTTAAGCACAAAAACCCCAACCCAATTTCTTGCTGATATATTCTAAAGATTGAGGATTAAAAAGCCCTAGATTTATTTTTTTACTGTAAGATCATGAAGAAGTATGTAGAGATGGAGGAGTAATCATCTAATAAAAAGTACATAAACTGAGAATGTTAGAGAACGTCCTGAGGAGAAGAAGAGTGCTTACAAGTACAGTGAGACATGGACAAGTACAGTGAGACATGGACGAGTGAGAGAAAATCAAGCACTGAAGTGGGGGAGTATTGAGTGTGTGAAAAAGAGACCACCACAAGTTTTAGAGATGCAAAATTGAAAAAAAAAACATGAGGTGGAAAACCCCAAATGCAGAGCTTGTGGTGATAATGGCACAGCTCCAGTTGGTCTCACGATCTTCCAATGTTTAATTACTAAACTGACCCTAAATTTGTTGTCTAATGAGAGAGATGACAAGAATCGTCTCCCTATCTCTTTCTCTCTCTACAAAATTATCTGTTCCTATCTGTTGGCTGTATAAATTGTACAAGTCAATCACGATTCAACACGTGACATGAGAAGAGTAATTTAGGAAAGTAATATAAATCACTAACCATAGTCAGACATGTGCCAACCCATATTGATAATAATGGGTCTGCGTAGCACTGAAATGATCGAGGGATATAAGGTGATGTGGCCTAACGGTTACTCACAAGGTTCAAATTCAAAATCAGGAAATAAGCCTAACTGCAAATATGGCGTAGTGAAACTAACTGTGAGAGAGTATGATCAGCGATCATGAAGGAAGGTTTCGACAGTTAGAAGTCCATTTCGATGGTTATCATTGAGAAGTATAAACAGCAGAGAAGGCCCAGAAAGAAGGACCCAGACTCAGATCCAGAAATCAATTTTTATCTACTTTATTTTTCTTCCAGTTTTTACATTTCTTGTTCTTTATATTTCTGTATTTCAAATTCCTGTATTGCACTTTATTCATAAGAGTAGTTTCGAATAGCTTATTATTGTAAACCTCTACGAGGGTGGATCAGATCATTGTAAGTTTTTTTATTTTTACTTAATGAAATGCTGCAATTATTTTTCATTTAATTATTATTTACCAAATTCTCCTAAACAAGCCACCAATAAAAGTTCTCTTCATTAAGGCTAAAAGAACTGAAACACAATTGTCTGATAATTGGTTGACAATTAATCTTCTGTACAGACTGATTGATCTTTGCTGGCACGCTTAAAATTACAATATTAACCTTCAAAAGCCAAAAAAATCCAACACTATCATAAAACACACTTGTTTGGTTCGGAAACCCGAGTCCGGATCCCCTCTTTGATGCCTCTCCTTCATTTCCTCCATACAACGGCTGAGATCAGACGTTGCAAATCCAACGGCTATAAAAAAATAATAAAAACAAATTGAAAACAAATTGAATTTGTTTTCCCGCCCAAACCAGCAACAACTTAGAGCATCTCCAATGCATGAGGCAAATAGAGAGAATTAAGCATTTTGCCTATTGAAGTTGCATTTCTAGGGCTCCAACGCATGAGGCAAATGATAAGGCATTTTGCCCATTCTCGTTTTGGCTCTCCACAGGTAGCTAGCCTCCATTGCTAGGCAAAGTGTGTTCCCGCCAACTCAGGTGACTCTCTTTCACTTTCTCTCTCTTTCTCCATTTCTCGTTCTTTCCCATCAACGATCTCTCTCAACCCACCTCCTGCACTACGAAACCCTTCCCCTTCTGTTTGATCTCACTAAGCTTAGTTTACTTCTTTGCGATTCAGGAAGATTCAAGAGGTCTGGACATTGGATTTCAAGGTCAGAACTCTTTGAACCCTAAATCAATACCTTTGCTTCACTTTGATTTCTTCCTTTGTTTCCTGGTATGTTTGTCATCAATTTATTCGATTCAATGAAGTTCCTATTATTGCCGTATATTCTGATATTGGGAAATACATAAAATAGCTATAGTATTCAAGATGAAGATCAAAAGACAAATTCACAAATTCTGAATTCATGATTTTAGAAGAAACGATAGGCATTATGAAATAACCTAAAAAGGGTAACCCAATTGATGAACTGTGTAGTTGTTTGTTTGATTGGTGAGAAAACTTAGAGAAAGAAAACAATAGAGCATTGAATCTTGATCCTTGCTTTGTAGGTTGGCCTAGTTTGGAACCAAATTCTTTTAGAAATGGGATTTCAAAAAGGAAAATGAAAGGAATGGATTTTTTGGGAATTCCCTTTTTATATGTTTAGTACTAATTACTTATCAAAAATATGTTTGGTACTAATTGGAATTGATAGGAAATGATTCTATTTTTCTGTTTGGTCTGATGTAGAATTGGAAAGTGGGGAAAATTTAGATGATCCTTATTAGCTAGTTAGGAACTTGTAAGAAGGGGAGGGTAGTGTGGAACATATCAAAATTCCATGAAACCCTACCATTCCAAACACACTAACTTTTTAGACCTATTTTTCAAAACAAATCAAGAGAATTTTCAGGTTTAGATGGAAACTATAAACAGCTATTTTGTGGAACATTAAATGAAATTAATGCATTATTTGAAGTTTTGGTGATCTCCAGTTTTGGAAAAGATTGACTGTTTGAAAAAGTTCTTCATGAAACCCAACGTATGTAGGCCTTGTAATTCAGTGCTGCTACTTTTCATAAAGAAAAAAAAAAAAGTAGTAATGAAGTCAAATGTGGTCATTATAATTATTCAATGAAGAAAATATGATGTGAAACTAGAAAAGTTTAAGTTCTCAAGGCTTTGTTTGATTCTCAGTAAGAAAGAGATGGTCACTTTTTTTCTTGATCATATTTTAATACTTTTCATTTCTTTTTCCTTAATTTTAACTGAATTGAAAAAGAAGGGTAGCTATGAGGGTACCTAGGAGAAGAAATCTATAGAATGTGATAGAATGTGCAAGGGGTTCATAATCACTTATTAACTAAAGAACTCATGGATTGCAACATTACAGTTCTTTAGTTAAGAATGAAGAATAAGTTCAAACTGTGTATGAGATTTATATAACCTTCAAGTACTTGCTTTTATTTTATTTTATTTTACCATTATCTTTTAATGGGTTCTGCTTAATGTTTCACAATTTCAGCTCTTATGTTCACTCTGTGAATCCTATTGTTGATATTATACACATTTTGTGGTATGAATTATTGTGCTTTAGATGGAATATCAAGGAAATGCATATTTTAGCAACCTAATGAACGATGAGTTTGACCTTGACCATGATTTTACCACTGAATCTCCTCAACCAGAGAGTCAATCTTCATCATTCTCTCCTGAAATTATTACTCAAACCACAAAGATATCACAACGCAAATGGAGCTTCACCGTAGAGGAAGACATGATGCTCATATCTTCATGGCTTAATATTAGCTTAGATCCAATTAGAGGAAATAAGCAGAAGTCAAAGGGATATTGGTTAAGAGTGTGGGAGAACTTCAACAAATACAAAACTTTCGATTCTGAAAAAACTCAAACTTCTCTAATGAATCGGTGGTCGACGATTTAACTTGCCACAAATAAATTTTGTGGATGTTTTGCTCAAGTTGAACGGTTGAATCAAAGTGGTTCGACTGAAAAAGACAAGGTATTACTAGAATTTAATTTTGTATCTATAATGAATATATATTATTCGTTAAAGAATCATTTTCATGGTATTGCAAGCCATGGTAATTAAAAAATGAATGAAGTTGAGAAATATAGTTCAAATTGGTAAAAATGAAAGAGCAAATCCTTTTTATAAACAAAAATATATAACCGTTAGGAATATGTCCGTTAGAGAATTTTACCGTTAGAGAATAATATCGTTTGAAAATATAACCGTTGAGAGAATATTATCGTTTGAAAATATGACCGTTTGAAAATATGACCATTGAGATAATATGATTGTTTGAAAATATTTTTTTATAAATAATTTAATTATATATTTTAAATAAATAAATATTTACAATTGTCACGTCAATATATGAAGCATGTCATAAAAAGATTATTTATTTATTTATTAATGTTTATAATAGTTTTTTTTGAAAAATTAGTTACGTTAGTTTGATTGATTAGCTAAAATAAAGAGTATGGTTGGAGTGTACACTAGCTAAACTAGTTAGGCAAAATAAAGAAGGTATTTTTCTGTGTACTTTGAGGAGGCATTTTAGAGAGTATGCTTGGAGATGCTCTTATACAGCTTTTTTACACTCACTCACTCTCACTCAGCCCCCTTCTCCTCCACCCTCACCAGTGACCCACTCTCGACGACGGCGAGAAGCTCTGATTCAAGCAAGCTTATACAGAGTAGATACACCTTCACCGGCTCTCTCTCTCTCTCTCTCTCTCTCTCTCTCTCTCTCTCTCTGTGTTTCTTGATTGTGTTTTTGATTGTGCTCTGGTATTCTGGATTGGGACATGGGTTGTTGTATTGTAATTTTTGGATTGTGCTATGTTATTCTGGTATTCTGGATTGTGCTCTGTTTCATGTTCACCATTGTTTTGTGTAATTGTATTTTTTTTTTTTTAATTTTGAAAACCTATGTGTTCACAAATATTCTGGTATTCTGGATTATGCAACCAATCACGAAGAGAGAGAACAAACAAGATTATATGTGGAAAACCAAAACTCAAAAAAATACTATAAACAATTTTGAAGTTGATCCTCAAACTCATTTGTGTTGTTGATCTTCACATTTAGTTTCTTGTTCTTCACTAGCCACGTCAACTCCAATGAATGTGAGCAATCGATTAGTGCATGTGTCCTAAATTTATATGAATGAGAGTTAACCCAAGGAACCAATCCTTCCTATCAGTCACAGTAGATTCAAACCACTGAGATCACTAAGAACTCAACAATCCTTCAAGATAAATCTCACCATGTTCAAACATCTTAGTAAAATTTTTACAATGTTTGAATCATTGTTCTAGA